AGAGCTCGGTTTTTCTTTGTAGTAATCTGAATTGTCTATCTCTGCATTTACATAAGCCCTTTCTATCTAAGAATGTTAGCAAGCGCTTTCAAACAGGTTTACAGTATGCAAATCAAAATTAACTTCAAAGTGCCTATCTCTTAATTAACGTTCATACATTAAAATATTTTGCAAAGTGTCCTCCTACTGAAAAATCCATGTCTTAACAATATATCGGTTCGATGGAAACTCTTGCTCATTAATTAAAGTGGCCACTTGAGGTGAGATAATATTTTAAGGAGAATTATTCACCTTGTTAATTTTCTGCTAAACAATTAACCCCGCAATAAATAAGGTATCGATCGACATGCTTTTACCGGAACAAGCCCTTAATAAACTCTGATAAACTACGCAAAATAATTGGTTATCAGGTTTACCTCACACTATTTTTAGTATACCTTTGAGCTAAATTACTAACCACTATCGTCGGTTTGGGGAAATACTTTTTTCATTCCCTAATCAGGACGAGTTTCCCCGTGCAATTACTGCACTGTAACGTCGAAGTGATACGTTGAGCTTTAAAAACTGCACGCCAAGTAGATGACCACACTTGGGGACTGGCATGTTGTGCAACCCCAATGAGTTGCACTATACTTCGCGCTGGAGTGTCAACATCAATATTTTCAAAACTTTCTTTTACTATAATTTTGTGCTTATTTTGTGCTAATTTTGCTGAAAATTAAAAATTTTGTGCTTGTCGGGTTAATGAGCAATTCAACTGATGACACTCCAACTAAACGCTGGAGTGTCAACATCGATATTTTCAAAATTTTCTATTACTATAATTTTGTGCTCATTTTGTGCTAATTTAAAATTTTGTGCTCATCACGTTAATGAGTAATTCATTTTTTTTCTGATCACACTCACTTCACAACTTCGCGCTGTGGTGTCAACATTGGTATTTTCAAAATTGTTTATTGCATTAATTTGGTCTCTTTTTTTGCTATTTTCTGCTAATTTACAATTGTGTGCGAGTCACGGTAGAATTTCTAATTTTTTGGGATGGGCCGCTAGCTTCTCACTGTAGCGTCAACATATATGTATACTTTAAACATTTCATTTTATTCACGTTTTGGGCTAACTTGTCCTGCTAATTTAAAGTCTGGTACTCACCCCGTCATTGGGAAATTCAAATTTTTCGCATGAACTCGCTTGAGCTAGGTGGATATAATTTCGATCGCCGTTTTGTGGACAAAATTTCATCAAATGTTGACATTTTAGATCTTTTTAAGTAAATTTTAAAGAATAAAATTTTCCGTCTGTGTGTACGTCAGTGCGTACCTATGTACATTGTGCGTTGGGGGTTTTCCTAGGTAACGGCTCGACGGATTTTGTTCAAATGTTGTTATGCATTGCTGTGTGCAACTACACGACTCACTAAACACCCATCCAGCTAGGTCAAAACAAATCAAAATTGAAACTGAGAATTTTATCATCTCTCCTTGTACACATTCGGCATCTGCTAAAGAAAAGTCCTAATATTGACTTAATATTTCTCAATTTGAGAGACTTGGTGGCCTCGATCAATTTCCGAAGAGTCAACCACACACATTTTCATTAACACCTGACATAATTCTTGGGCACGAAAAGAACTTGACATGAAAAACTCTATCCGGGTGGCACAATGGATTCGAATAGACACAATTAATTGATTGACAAACATTTATTCCAAAACACAACGAAACAAAAAGAAAAGCTTAAAAAGCTTGTTTAGACACATTACACGACGCAGGCGGACAAACTAATAAAACAAGAAACCTTAAAATTACTTACAGTGTTTTCTCAGCAATCCAAATAATCCGGCCGAGATTAGCCACATAAGACGCACTTAACTGTAATGTAAAATTGCGATACATATTACCCATCTCACTCACCGAAGCTTCCTGCACCCCACAGTCCATAGTGGCAGGAGTGTGAGTTTGTTAGACGTGCGACTTTGATGCTTAAACGTATAGCGTTCGTGTTATTGAACGCTATTACAACTGCGGTAATCGACTATTCTTTACGAAACGCCGATGTACTGAAGCATCTCGGAATAAGCTTCATCTAAATTAATCGAGTTGCGCCTCTTTATATTTCTCAGTCGACGCTCTAATTTAAATTTAGTGTTCTCGCTCTATCTAGGTATTTTCTTTGTAAACCCGTTTAGTTTAAATGTCAGTTATTTCTATAGTGGATTTGTTATTTCCTTAGTTCTTTGGTTCGCCACTAGAGGTCGTAATCTTCTTTGCTTTTCTGCATGCACATTTCCTGTACTTCTTTCCTACATAGACGATTTGGCCATCATATTTGTTGCGTGCAAATTTTTCTTTTATTTGACTTAGTGTCTACCTGTTTTAATAATAATAATAATGTTTATTTACGCCTAGGGCAATTTACAATATAATATACTATAATAATAAATAATCGTAGCTAACAACTACGTGTACCTAAGTAGATGACACGAAATAATTAAATTTAAATATTGATATAATAACACGCAACGTCATTCAGTTAAAAGTATTATAGTATTCCATTTGAAAATCGGGAGAGACCCACTAAATAAATCGATTTTATCATTAAAATTGTTCAATAACTCCAACAATCGATTTCGAGGGCTGTTACGAAGGTAAAGAGTTCGATTAGGTCTCATGTAAAGAAGCCTCGAAGATCGAACGAATCTTTGAGGAACATTAAAGTAAATGTCAGACAAGATAGTATGACAGTTTATGTGGCCGTTTAATAACTTAAAGCCGAACTGCAGGGTAAGTAGTGTTCTTCGATTTTCTAACCGCATGATATTGAGATATAGTCTTACGTCATTGGTTCTTTCAAACACGATTCCTGCCAAAGAGAGCTTATATTTTAACAATCGAAGAAAATAGGAAAACAAAACTAAAAAATTCGAAGGTTGTTTTAGCTATATGGCACCATTGCTATTAAATTCAATTCCTACTGAGTTTTTTAATAACAATTTCAATCATTTTTGCAGAGAAGTAGGCGAATTTGTAAGTCAAACTAACTTGTAAGACGATTACAGTGTTTTTTTTACCCTATGTTAAAGGATGAATTGAAAAACGGCTTAGCCGAATTCATACCCTTTTGAGCGTTCTTACCTTATTTATTTAGTGTTTTTGCTTTCTTTATTTCATTTTGTTAAATGTAAGGCTCAATAAACTTTATTATTATTATTATTATTATCTTAGCGAGATTGACATTGGCGACGTCACGTGAGACATTACATTACCTACTTCGAAAATGTACACCTGGAGATATACCTAATCGTTCCTGTCTGTCTAACTGCAAGTAATTTACGAAACCTTTTGGAGAATATTAGCTTTGTGAATCACTTCGATATTTCTGATCCTACGTATTTTTCTTTTGTCGTTACCGATTACGATTCTTAATTACGTTATTTGTATATCACTCCGAAGTGTTCATACTATCCTATTTATATCTCGAATTAAGTAAATTACATTGCTGTTGTACAGAAATTAGTTTATTTGTGCATATTAAAGTAGTTATTCTTGAGTTAACGTCACGTTCACACTATTATAACCGATTTGTACGGACGATCCGTGGTTGAGTCAAAATTTTGCTCTTGCAAGTGTAAAGTCATTATTATTGATTCCGATTTTATTATAATATTATTATAAGTGTTTGGTCGACTTCCTCACCATTGAAAACCCTCATCCCGACGTTTAAAGTGCGTTAATTGGTCCACACAGGTGAAAAAACCATGAATACACGACTTCCGGTGCAAAATGCGGTTTAGCAAACGGCAGATTCGTATTCAGCGGGGTAGAAATATGGAATATCAGTCGTTTGCTCAATTGTTACCCGATTTGCTTCTAGAATTCCGATAGTGAGGGGGAATATGAAGGGGAAATTGAATGTTTAGAGACGTATTGGAGGGATCGGTGGAGACGAAGAAAACGGAAATATATTGATGATTTGAAGAAGGGATGCAGACCGATGAATCTGAGAATTTTAAAATTATTCAATATTTTTTTTCTTTCAACAATTGTATGTATAGGAAACGACCGAATATTCGTTGCAAGTAGGTAGCTAATTCTATGATAACGTGATTTTTTGAAATTCAAGCCTTTGAAATTTTCATAGTTGCGAAGATGGGAAGGTTGGGGAAGTTTCAGGATAGATAAAGGGTAGTAAATCAATCCTTCGAGAACCGCTGGTACGGCCGAATTATTTCCAACTTGGGACATCTTTATGCGTAGATCCTGAGCTATTAGTTCCAAATTCTTTCAGCTGATCTTCGATTTGGTTAGGTATTTAAAACAGCGGAATTTATCGTAACAAAACTGCAATGTAGTTTTTCTATCAATAACTCCATTATGTTTTACTTGATGTGCTGCACCCAAAATTTCGAGTTTTCCGCCGCCGTTTTTATGGATCATTTCAAATGGCGTAGTGTGCGTGTTGGATGTGAACATGCTGTTACAGAATAAGACATTTAAATTACATTTTCATGTTATAAAAGGAAACTTATTATAATTTCAAATAAATGCTCATCTGTCTAAAATTTTTTATCTAAAATTTTGGCAATTGTGTTGTAGCAGAAGAAAACATAACGATTGCTATCTTCGAAAGATTTATTGCAGAAGTATGAAAAGACAAATTCTTTTCGCTGAATTTGGAAGCTGGAGAATACAAACGTGTTTTACAGGAAAATATGGTGAGGGTGGCAAAAGCATTGTTTAGGTTTTTATTGCGCGCCCGAGACAACCTCTAAAATAATAATTTATCATAAATGCGATCGTCGAAGAACAAAGGGGTGTAAGAAACAGCCAACCGGAGAGTTGTGTGTCGCAAGTGCAGGTTAATGAGGCCGTAACGAGACGCATACAAGTTTGTAGGGTTTTTATACCCATACAAATAAACGCCGGTGGACGCTGGTAAAGTGCGCGGGACGTCGAGCGCTAACAAACAGGGGTTGCAGAGACGGCATTTGATACAGGGCACGCGAGTCCTTCAGTCTTTTGCCACCAGTGCCGCGAAGTGGGCGGCGAGGCTTCCGTCCACATGTTATACCTTTTCGGCTGTTGCACGCGCACGCTAATCCCAAAGTGAGTGTCGCGTGCGATGCTCTAATTAACCCTTCAAAAACACAAGTTCGAATTTATTTTATGTTTCATAAACCACGTGGGTTTTCGGCGTAAAAATATTTACAAAAAAATTTCGAACTGCGGTAAGTTTTGCATGCCTCCCATTTGTTGTCCCCGATTTAATTACTTTTAATGTTAATCCGCTAAAAATCTAAAACATTTCCGAATCAATATTATGCGGAATTTATTCGCCATTTAAAAACGCACAGCAAATGGAATTCTATGTATTTGTGGCGAAATAATGGAGACAAGTAATTTTGAAATTTTCGAACGGGTGCGTGCTGAAAGTGCTTATATTCGCGCGAATGAAACAACCCGGTGTTGTTTTAATCAACAGAAATCCTCGTAGCAATCTGCTCAATTACTGTTTTAATCCCCACGAGACCAACTTTATCTATTTGCGAAAAACAAGAACAGTTAGAACATTGTAATTATTTTTTCCCTTTCTTAAAGAATCGCGACATTACGGATTATTGGTGCTTGTAACTTTATGTAGATGAGTATAATTATTAGCGATTCTGGGCTATGGAAATAAAAATCATGTAGGGCTTAGCGTGATATAAAGGAAATTGGTTCTATATGAATTTTCCAATTCTAGAGGTAGCAAGTGGAATGAACAAAGGGGTAGTCATTTTAAAATAAAAATGCTAGTCTTAGCTTATAAGCTTTTCGCTAATTGTTTTATGTCGGTTATGTGCTAATACTCTCTATAATCCGAGATCAGTTTTGCATTACTATCCAACTAAATATTTCATTATGGCATACAATCTTTAAATTGAAAGACAATGTGTAGTACAAACTAAATAGGAATTCTACATTATAAAGGGCGCATTTAAATTTACCGTCACGAAAGTATGAATCACGATTCACGAGTTAATTCGTGGGTTTTACATTCGAGTTGTTATTTTCCTTAAATAAACAATCACAGGAACCAGGAAATGGTTCTCGCATCTGACGCACATTGATAAAATCTAACGCCACGTTCGAGCAAAGAAATTGAAATTATATCAGCTCTACATTAGTGGAGTATGGCCAATTTTTTTGCTGGTGCAATTTTGCAACGGACTTGATATTTAACTGAAAAAATAATCTGTGGTGAGGATTGAGGATTTTTTTTTAAGTCGGTCCAGAAATCATCCCTGGGGAGCATGTGCCATGTTCGGAAAATGCCACTAACATAATCTTTAGATTTTTCTCCTTCGCCTTTCCTTTTTTACCAAAAATCGACTACACCAAAATTTCTCGGGAAAACACTTTTTCTTATTAATTTTGGTGCGTAGAATCCAAATCAATTCGTTCTTTCTCGATCAGACTTCACAATCAAAAGTTATAGACTAAAAACCAATTTCGAAAAAAAATTCAAAGGGCTGTAACTTTTGAAGTAGTAGCCCAATCTTGGAACTGTTTGAAATTATTGATTCTACAGGCCACATTCTATAAGAAATTTTTTTTTCCGGGTCGATCTGAGACAATTTTTTTTTCGGGGTTCAAAAAAAGGCAGTGTATAACCTTCCTTTTTTTACCTAAAATCGACTGCACCAAAATTTCTCGGGAAAACACTTTTTCTTATTAATTTTGGTGCGTAGAATCCAAATCAATTCGTTCTTTCTCGATCAGACTTCACAATCAAAAGTTATAGACTAGAAACCAATTTCGAAAAAAAATTCAAAGGGCTGTAACTTTTGAAGTAGTAGCCCAATCTTGGAACTGTTTGAAATTATGGATTCTACAGGCCACATTCTATAAGAAAATTTTTTTTCCGGGTCGATCTGAGACAATTTTTTTGTCGGGGCTCAAAAAAAGGCAGTGTATAACCTTCCTTTTTTACCAAAAATCGACTACACCAAAATTTCTCGGGATAACACTTTTTCTTATTAATTTGGGTGCGTAGAATCCAAATCAATTCGTACTTTTTCGATCAGTCTTCTCAATCAAAAGTTATAGACTAGAAACCAATTTCGAAAAAAAATTCAAAGGGCTGTAACTTTTGAACTAGTAGCCCAATCTTGGAACTGTTTGAAATTATGGATTCTACAGGCGACATTTCTATAAGAAAATTTTTTTTCCGGGTCGATCTGAGACAATTTTTTTTTTCGGGGCTCAAAAAAAGGCAGTTATAACCTTCCTTTTTTTACCAAAAATCGACTACACCAAAATTTCTGGGGAAAACACTTTTTCTTATTAATTTGGGTGCGTAGAATCCAAATCAATTCGTACTTTTTCGATCAGACTTCTTAATCAAAAGTTATAGACTAGAACCCAATTTCGAAAACATATTCAAAGGGCTGTAACTTTTGAACTAGTAGCCCAATCTTGGAACTGTTTGAAATTATGGATTCTACAGGGCACATTCTATAAGAAAATTTCTTTCCCCGGTCGATCCGAGACAATTTTTTCTTGGGGGCTCAAAAAAAGGCAATTTTACGAGTAAAATAGCTTTGTGAAAAACTGAAATTCTCAACTTTTGTCATTAAAATTTGGGGAAATAGATGTCCGCACTGAGAACTACTTAAGAACAAGAATGAGAGTTGTTGGAGAACGTTTAATTTTTACAGACAGCTCCCGAAACGAGTACACCTTCCTCCTTGCCAAGAATAAAGACGTAAAGGCTGCGGTGAAAAAACGAAATATGGTTTTGCTATGATGAGCTTCTTCAGGAACACTTCGGAGTTTAAAAGGCAATCATACAATTTAAAAAAAAATTAGATGGATTTTTTGCAAAGGAGATTAAAGGGCGTTACTAAAGCTTTTATGCTTATACACAGATGCGCAGCACTTAAAAATTTCCGGAACCGTTTATCGTAAAAAAACGTTTTTGTAAGCTCATAATAAGTTATGCTTTGTGTAAAAAAATTTTTTTACGGTCATAATTGGTGAAGATTTTGAAGGGGTAGTGGGTGTTTTTATCCCCAGCTTCGAAGCCACTGGAAAAGTACGCTTTTGGGACGCCCATTTGAACCGCTAGTGGTTTCTACACAAGAAAGGTCATCAGCTGATCATTTTCGGTAAACATCAACTTTATCTTGAAAAACATGGTCAAAACATTTTTTTTACTATTCCAAAGAATATCGCTTGCCATCCAACGTGGAAACGCCGCTAGCATTAGGGGCACCCTCCCAGATCATCCAGGAATGGACGAAATATTTTCATTGTGAAAATGAATCATGGCAGAAAACTCAAGTGGATACTTGCTGAGCTCTCCAAGGCTTCTACTGACGCTACTTGCGTCCATCACATTATATTAAGATTATTGTTGTTACCTACTCATACTCTTAGTTTAGTTTAAATTCAATAACCACTTATTATTTAATTTAAATAAAATACAAAATGTTATCTTCCAATTATTAAACAAAATTTATTTAAACGTTGGACCAAGTAACAAAACCAAACGTTAACTAATAATTGCAAAATTAAAAAAAAATAATAACCAATCATACACAGTTACATTAAATGGAAATGACCTCCGTTAGCAGTAATTCTGCATTGACTGTCGTAACACACAGGAAAGTTCCCGGAGTGTTCCGAATTTTGTCGCAAGTTGCAACAAAGCGTTCTTTTAATTGGTCAACATTTTCAACTGGAGTAGCGTAGACTAGGGTTTTGAGATGGTCCCAAGAGAAAAGATCTAAAAAAAAGTTCGGGAGATCGCGGGGGCCAAGAGTGAGGACCTCTTCGACCAATCCAACGGTCTTGGTATTCGTTGTCCAAGTTTTGCCGAGCAATCAATTTAGAGTGGGCTGGAACTCTTATCATTCTTTGTCTTATTTGAAGCGGTACATCTTCCAGCAGTTCCAGCAGTACTTCTTTTAGAAATTGTCGATAATCTGCACCGTTTAATGTGTGCTTTTATTTTAAAATTATGACCTTACAAAGAAATTTTTTTCGCACAAAATGTAGCTTATTATGAGTGGAAAAACTGTTTTTTTGTACGATAAACGGTTCTGGAGATATTCGCAAAAAAACAAAATTTTTTCAATTTCAACACCCTGTATGTTAATAAGTAAGTTAATAGAAACTGTTTTTCAAATTTTTGGACGAGCTATCACATCCTGAAGTCCTGCGCATATATTATGAAACACCCTGTGTATGTATAATAACCTAAGTCCAGCTAGTAAACGACTGCACAACCCTAGGCACAACCTCTCTGTTAAAACATGGGAAATAATAATAAACTGCCATCTGTTAAAGTGATAGGGCCATTAATATTGCATCTGTCAATTTACACACGGTTCAAATCCAAGGTGTGTTATTAAGCGGCAGAGCAAAGCGATGCAAGCTTTATAGGGGAGTCGTTGGTGTCCGTATGTCCGTCAGTCCGCGAACACGATAACTGTCAAACGCTTGGACAGATTTGGTTCAAACATTGCACCATTATGCCACAAGCAATAAGCATCTCTGTCTCTGCTAAACGCTTGAACCTATTTAGTTCAAACTTTGCACAGTTGACCTATATGCCACATGTAATAACTCTATTGAAAATGGGCCAAATCCAATGACCCCGTGGGGTCACGCTTCTCTGTCCCTGCCAAACGCTTGAACCTATTCGGTTGAAACTTTGCACAGTAGACTTATATGCCACATGTTTGAAGCCAATTGAAAATGGGTCAAATCCAATAACTCCGTGGGGTCACACCAAGATGCTCTGCCGCTTTTTTAGACGCTCTTTATGGGTTTATTAAATGTTTACCATGAAATGCTCACTTAGCAATTTTGAACTTTTGAATTTTGATCGTAGCGACCGCCTGAATTCAGAAGGGCGCGTTCTGAAAATCTTTAACAGGCAATAACACAACAAACAAACAAGAGGAATAGCGACTCGCGCGGCCCATATTAATGCGTAAATAATGTCTAACGTCTGAGGAGGTAATCGTACACTAAAACTGTATTAATACAAGATTGTTAATCTCTAAACGTTCGTTATATACTTGCAGTTACAATTCCGGAACAAATATCGAAAGCTCTAGGTATAAATTTCGAGTAGGTATTAATGTATGTTGATAGAATGAAGTAGACTCACATGGTTAATGTAGATAGAATTTCACACGTCGGTAATGTAGAATGTCATCTATGGCGTTCTTCAATT